TACTGGAGAGTAACAGCATCATCACGCAGCATGTTATTGTTTTAGACAGGTCTGAGCATCCTGTACTCCAAAAACTGCAGTGATATTAGACAATTGTGTGTGTAGGATTAATTACCTGTCCAAGAGAAAACTGGCAACTTGAGCGTCACTTTGAAAACCTTTTTCCTCCATCAGTGACTTCCATCGTGTAAATGCCGTGCCAATGTTGATCCGTGTTTTTTGCCGTTTCTTGTCACGCTTGCGTTTATTCTCGTCGTGTTTCCGCTTCTTAGATGACGGGGGTTCGGTGTCCGCCGCTTTTCGTTGTGATACAGAGTAGGCATGATCCTCCATTCGTCTGATGTTTGGCCACACAGTGCCAAACAGTTTGCAAAGTCACTCACGCCTGCCGCCTTGTTCACCTTTCTTGTTACTGAGGCGCAGTATACCTGCTTCTTCTTCTTCTTCTTTGGTTTCAGGCAGACTAAACGCTTCTCAGGCATAATACTGCCATCTACTGTTCAGTACCGTCTCAGTTCATCTCTCTCAACTTGCCGTAGTTATTTTTGAGCGTCATGGGAGATCTCGCAATCGCTAGTTTGTTGCCTCTGCGCTTGCCGTAGCGCAAAGATGTCAGCCTCCATGGCTGCGAGACCCGCTCCTATGTAATTATAAATAACGAATTCTAAGGCAACGCAAATATTATGGTTAAAAGGCTGAGCTCATAGGTGATGATAAATAACATAGTTATGTATAATATATTAAATTTCTGACTTTATATCCCTGTAATTATTACACACTGTAGCTTTAACCTCAGGAGTTGTACAGTCATCATACAGTAGGCATTTAATGAAGCTGAGTAAATTATTGATAAGAGAATAAAGTTAACTAAGATTATTCAGTTTTTAATAATCTAAGCCAAACCAATTTGCTCATTGAAAAATAAGCTGAAACACTGAAATAAACCAAACATGGACCATTCAATATCATTTGACTGAATTATCTCTGAGGGCTGTACTATGTCTGGTGGGCAGTGGGTAGCTCTGCTGCGTTAAAGCAAGAGAGTTCTGAGTTGATTACTGTCCCAGGGTCTTTCTTCATGGAATTTGCATGTTCTCCCTGTGCATGCGTGGGTTCTCTCTGGGTAATCCGGACGGTCAGGTTAATTGGCGTCTTTTAATTGTCCTTAGGTATGAGTGTGTATGGTTGTACATCTGTGTGTGTCTCTGTGAAACCATCACTGCCATCGACTCTGCAGTTAGACCCTCGAAAAAAACCTCCTCTCAACTTGACACAGAGGGCTCAATTAAAAGGGCAAAGCAAAGCTCAGATGAATCCACAGTCAAAATATTAATAAAAAATGTTGAGCGATAACACAGCTAATGGAAAGCATATTGTGCACTCTCATGAACAGGTTGACACCCCTCTGCTGAGGACATAAAAACATACTGGTGTAAAAGTGTTCAACTGAAATGCCAGATGTTTGAAAACTGCCTGAAAGTGTGAACAGCTGTAAAAAAAAAAAAAGCAGATTTATATGAAGAAAAACCAAACACTTGACAGGTGATTGATTCCACCATGCTTTAATCAACACAGCCACAAAGCAGGAGCCACTCTGTAAACTGGCTTTACGTTTATTTTTTGTTTATTCATTTTTCAGTAGTTTTTAATATGTGCATCCATGCAAAGCTTCTTGTTTGTTACCCACTCTGCCAATAGGCAATGCACAAAATTTTTGGACTAATTTAGGACGCCACAAGAAGTCAACATACTAAAGATTTCTATTAAGCTGGACACCCTGACCACCGTGGCAGAGAGGAGGATGCTGTCCAGGTTTCAGTCCATCTTAGACAATGACTCACATCCTCTCCACGACACACTGGTCCAGCAGACGAGCTCCTTCAGCAGAAGACTCCTCCTACCCAGATGCACCACAGAGCGCCACAGGAAATCATTCCTACCTGTGGTCATCAACCTATATAACGCCCCCCTCAAGTGATTCAGTCCCCCCCGTAATTGACATTTATGCACTATTTTTGCACGCCACGTATCACTTTACTTGGATTTATTCACTTTAATTGGACTCTTCACTTTATTTGGATTTAGTTTTTACATATACATAGATATACGTACAGATATATATACAGAAGAGCTACACTCACCGGCCACTTTATTAGGTACCCCATGCTAGTAACGGGTTGGACCCCCCTTTGCCTTCAGAACTGCCTCAATTCTTTGTGGCATAGATTCAACAAGGTGCTGGAAGCATTCCTCAGGGAGTTTGGTCCATATTGACATGACTGCATCACACAGTTGCCGCAGATTTGTCGGCTGCACATCCATGATGCAAATCTCCCGTTCCACAACATCCCAAAGATGCTCTATTGGATTGAGATCTGGTGACTGTGGAGGCCATTTGAGTACAGTGAACTCATTGTCATGTTCAAGAAACCAGTCTGAGATGATTCCAGCTTTATGACATGGCGCATTATCCTGCTGAAAGTAGCCATCAGAAGTTGGGTACATTGTGGTCATAAAGGGATGGACATGGTCAGCAACAATACTCAGGTAGGCTGTGGCGTTGCAACAATGCTCAATTGGTACCAAGGGGCCCAAAGAGTGCCAAGAAAATATTCCCCACACCATGACACCAGCACCACCGGCCTGAACCGTTGATACAAGGCAGGATGGATCCATGCTTTCATGTTGTAGACGCCAAATTCTGACCCTACCATCCGAATGTCGCAGCAGAAATCGAGACTCATCAGACCAGGCAAGGTTTTTCCAATCTTCTATTGTCCAATTTCGATGAGCTTGTGCAAATTGTAGCCTCAGTTTCCTGTTCTTAGCTGAAAGGAGTGGCACCCGGTGTGGTCTTCTGCTGCTGTAGCCCATCTGCCTCAAAGTTCGACGTACTGTGCGTTCAGAGATGCTCTTCTGCCCACCTTGGTTGTAACGGGTGGTTATTTGAGTCACTGTTGCCCTTCTATCAGCTCGAACCAGTCTGGCCATTCTCCTCTGACCTCTGGCATCAACAAGGTATTTCCGCCCACAGAACTGCCGCTCACTGGATGTTTTTTCTTTTTCGGACCATTCTCTGTAAACCCTAGAGATGGTTGTGCGTGAAAATCCCAGTAGATCAGCAGTTTCTGAAATACTCAGACCAGCCCTTCTGGCACCAACAATCATGCCATGTTCAAAGTCACTCAAATCACCTTTCTTCCCCATACTGATGCTCGGTTTGAACTGCAGGAGATTGTCTTGACCATGTCTACATGCCTAAATGCACTGAGTTGCCGCTATGTGATTGGCTGCTTAGAAATTAAGTGTTAACGAGCAGTTGGACAGGTGTACCTAATAAAGTGGCCGGTGAGTGTATATGTGTATATATATATATATTTTTTTATCTCTTTTTATTCCTTTTTTTATCTTTATTATATTGTATAGTTGGATGTGTGTATATATCATGTAAAACTGTAACTAGAGCGTGTAACAAAAGTAATTTCCCTCTGGGATTATTAAAGTATTTCTGATTCTGATTCTGATTAATGCTATATAATATGTTGTATGTATAGTAAACAAAAATAAAAAAAAGCTCCATGGCAACTTTTAAAATAAGAGCCAATAGCACAGGACTTTCTCTATCACGGTAAAAAGACTCTTTCTGTCTTCTGTGTCTGTTGACAGGTAAAAGCAGTGTCTTTTTGAAGATGAAAGGGCTGTGGCCTTTTTGATAGTGAACACAACCCTTCTGTCTTCTTTTTGAGCTGCTGTCTATCTTTTCGGAAGCAGAGCTACCACACACATTTCATGGACGGGTGGGGTTTTCTCTAATTTGGTTTAGTAAAAAAAAAAAAGCGCTGGCGCTATTATACAAAGTGCTGAACGCTTTTGTACATGCAGCTTCTGGTTATATACACCGACTACCTCATTCTGCAAAGGACCTGCAACAGACTATGACCCTATGGAACACATTTCTAAAACAGAACAAGTTGCTGTGTCTGAGAATCATTCAAATAAAAATAAGCCACATTAAACGTTTGGGTTTATTCTTTGGACAATCCTAAAAGTAAATAGAAGTGAATGCACAAAGCTTGGTAAACCAATAATCAGATATTGTCCATTATCTGTTTTTGGATGGAGTGCAGACTGTGTGATTTCAGTTAAAGCTATTTATAGATGGTAATGCAGGCTCACACTATTACAGTATTGCTGCCATGTTCACTGTAAGTCTGAAATGGTTTGGTTTTACCACAGATCACATGGCAGACATGTATTGCTGCTACCTTCATTAGCTATGCATTGTAAATGTTTTTTTTTTTTTTTCTTGATAGTTGTTTATTTTTTTTTGTATAAACTGAGACTTGTGTAACATTTATCATCCTGTAATTTTTAATGTGTAAATGGTGTGTAAACCTCAAGCACATCAAGGAACATATGTTTATTTGACTCCTAAAGTCTTTATAGGGGCTTTGTGATCCCTTCCAAAGGAATATATGAGAATTACTTTATAAGTGATTTCTGTTCTTATTTTTTTTATGCAGGACATGATGTATAATTCCATCAGATTTTTTTAACAATGTTGTTTTACAGTAAGTAGTGACTTTACAGATCTAGCTAACTATTAGGCCTTCATGCGACAAGTAAAATTGAACTTGCCTTTCCAACACATTTATTCATGTTTTTTCATGAATGATTATGGGGATTTCATTATTACAGATTTCTTTGCATTGCTTTTTTTGCTTCAAGTAAAACAAAATAAAAAATAAAAAAAATTGCATTTTGTATTTACTTTGCATTTTTGTATTCCCTTAATTACAGCATGGATAATAAACATTTTAAGTGCAAAAAGAAAAAAGAAAAAAAGAAAAAAGAGAAACTGGTAAGGGTGCACATACTTCTTGACTCCCCAATATAAATGTGTGGAGCATGATCCATGGTATGAACTGACACTGAACAAGCGTGACTAGAACCTTAACAGTAAAGAATAGAAGTGTAACAAATCATATGTGCAGACCAACCTTTCAGAGGTTTGGGAAGGAAGTGGGCTGCTGGCTTGTTCTTTTTGACATGGTTCCCCTTCATGATTTCTCCTTCTTTGTTCAGACCGAGGTACCAGCCTCTGCCTGACTGCTGCTGTCGGTAGATCATGGAGGAGTATGTCACATAGTAGTTCTCAAACACCGACTCCTTAAATTTGCATTCTGCTGTAAAGTGTTCCTGTTGAAAGGAAAAAAGCAGGGATGGTTTCATTTTGTTGGCTAGAACTTCATGAAGCTTCAAAAGCTTTGTGGGAAAAAAAAACAAAACAAACACATATGCAACATATTTACCTTCTGTCAAAAGGCAACTTGATAAAGTTGTGGTGTGAAGAAAACACATAGACAGAAAAGGGAAGATGAACAGTCCCATGGCCAATACCCGCTATTTCCGGGTTCTAAAGGATTTTATTCTATTCATTGTCATGAATAATTTAGCACTTCATGGCAGGGATGATAGTGAGATAAAGTTACAAGAGCATTAATAAAACACCCATTTCAAATGTTACATGTTATTACACAAACTTATTTAAAACCCTTTAGACATGTTTTTTTTTTACAGTACTGATGGGATCACAATCTTATAACTTAAAAGATAAGATTTAAATGCTTTCACAATGAGATGTTTATAGGCTTGAATGTAATGCAGTTAGCACAAAGAAAGCACTCATTACTTTCAATTATTAAGGCATTGGCTTTAGAAAGGCTCTGTAAACATGCTGTTTGAGAAATTAGGGACCAACTAACCGATTAGCTCTGTGGTTCTCCAAGTAATTAATCACCTGCAGAGTTACTATAAGATTTATATAACTTACAGAACAATCAAGTAAAATAATAATAAGGAATTTTTCCCATAACATTCCCTTCTCCATATTTCAGGTGTCTTTTGTAAAAAGCAGTAATTGCTTGAGCAATTGAATAGTTTTTATTTTAGTTTCTTTGCAGGAACAGTGGACATAATCTTTATATCTGTAACTATTATTAAATTCAAATCAATGAAATTCTCTAAGTAAAATTAAATCAGGTATGGTCTCCGTTGGTAAGTAAAAGCTTTTTAAAGTAATCTAACGAATTCTGACAAGACAATAGTAAAAATAGAGCTGATCAAAACCTGGTTTGGGTGACTAAACAAGTGTAGATGACATCATTGTTTTTTTTTTTTATTATTTGAAAAACAGTTTCATTTAGCAGGTGTGCAGGTATATCCAGTAGGTGTTTATAATAACCCTTTTGAAAACACCACTGGAAGTACAACTTCCAGTCAATGACAATCCCTGTACAATAATAAGAATCAACAATATCAAATTTACAGTTTATGTAATGAGCTACAAAAAAAAAAAAAAAAATCATACTTTACTCATATTATTTTCTCTTACATTGATGCTTTTAATCCTTCATACACATTTTCTGTGTTTTGTGCTCAGCAGCTTTAATGCATCAAAGCCTCTTTTTTCTTTGCTGCATGACTTTTTTTCCCAAGCTGTTTACCTTCAACGGTCTTAGGGAGACTGGGCAACATCCATAAAAGTTTTGCACAAACAGTAATTGGACGCATAACAACAAGCTGCTCTTGAGCTCAGTTCTGTTGTACCTCTAATAATGAGCTTATGTGGATTTGGCTGGTTACACATGTCCTGATGAAGAATAAGGCTCTATTGACAAGCAGACAGACACAGATGGATACCCTCACAGCCAGAGCCAAGATTCAGGAGACGCTGCTGGCTGTTAACGTCGAACTGGAGCAGATCTGTAGACAGCAAGCCTGTGCCAACTATCACAAAGAGAAACAAAAATGGCAGGGGATCCCCAATTCTTTTTTTTCCACTGCTTCTGCAAAAACAGGACTGTGATAGACGGAAAAGTCCGCTTTCTAAAATGTCTTTAGAAAGAGGACAATTTCTGCAAGAAAATATTATATGCACATTCATCCTTTAATCTACATGCTTCTACGATTTTTTGGCCAAATTGACTTTTAACGATGCTTTTCTACTTGATGGACTGTGGTTCAAGTATGATTAAATCATATCCAAACACAGAATGGCTCACCTACCCTAAAATGCTAATTTTTATTTTTTAAGTTTTCTAATTAATTCATTCATTCATTTTGATAATGTGTCTGGTTAAATTAGAAATACCAACGGCGATGCCAAAAAATATATAACTGTTTAAATTCTACCGTTTCCCATATTGTTAACATATTTTATTTCTGTTACTGTTAACAACAGCTTATGTACACCAAAATTATCTTTCCTAACTATATTTGTGAAAGCTCAGTTTGTGAAATGTGGGTTTGTAAATCACATGTGGGATTCCCAACATTTTCGGTAAATGGAAGCATATTTAAGATTGTATTCTAAGCTTATATCTCACATCCACTACTTCATATTTTAGGCAATATAACAGAAATAATAGTGAAACCTATTAATTTAACTTATCTCTTAAATCATACAAGGCTGTCCCCTCTTCATAAAAGACATTGGTTCTTTGTGCCAGATATTGGTGTTTTTTGACTTCAAAGTGTGCATACAGCCTCAACACCAGAACAAATTAAAGAGACCATGTGAAAATGCTTGAAAAGAATAGTAAGAGAGTGTCTTTTTCTACCTTGAAAAAGCTCCTAGACCAACCAAAAAGTCCACTAAGCAAGGAGGAATCTATTATTTTAAAAATAACCAGTATAGATAAAAAAAATTTGAATGTAGTCAGGGTGATTATTTTTCAAGACATACTCTACATTTTGACAAAACTAAAAATTATGTGTTTGGTCATAATGACTATCATTACAATTCGAGCAAAAAGATGAATCCAGCTAATCTGGGATTACCCTTTCAACTGTGAAATATAGGACTTGTCAGCTTAAAATTTTTGTTCTTGTCCTCTTCTAACTTTCAGAGTTGTTGTTGAGCGTTTTCCTCTAGTATAAATTGGTTCAAATGATGAAATAGATGATTTAGTGAGATAAGATCTCTGAAATATTAAAGCAACATCAACAATTCTTCCAAATTATAATAAACCTTAGAATGAATAAATTTTTCCTAAGCTATGTGTCAGGGCCATTAAAACATGGACATCAATATGCATGTTAAATGTTAACTGCTGGCAAAAACTTTATCATTTTTGACAAATTTATAGTTTGAACAGCTCTAAGATGTATTGTGTAATGCTTATTTTCTTAGTTAGGGAGGTATGTAAAGAAGCACCCTCAGTTATAACTAGCTGTCAAATGACTCAGTTCTATAAACCTAAAGTAAATATAGAACTGCAATGCGTTTCTCACATGATGCCAGCAGGAGGTGAAATACAATCATAACACATTTCATTTCTTCTGTAAAGACAAGCCAAATCAATGCTAACTGCGATGTAATACGTCTTCATCTACAGTATAAAAACTAGAGCGACATCAATTATGCAAATAAAATCATAGCTGAGTGCCTCTCAAATTCCTTGCTACCACTTCAATGTAAGTGAGATACTGAAAGGATAATTATCTGGCTGAGCAGTGACAACATATATGCTGAGAAATTATCAAAATTATTTCAAAGGACTTTTTTTCTTTATAAAGTAATAACTCAGTCATTTCATTATGTTTAGTAATTTTCTAAATTCACTGGAAAAAAGAACAAATAGAAAAAAGGCCACACCCGCACAAGGTTTAAAATAAAGGCAAAAGCTTGTAAACACTCATAAAGGTAAACAGAGCAATTAATGCCACCTCCTGGGAAGTGAAACCCTACAGCAGTGCTTAGTAACTAATGGCACAGTGGAGACTAAATAGCTGAAAAAAAAATCGATTTAATTTTATATTTCATAAAGTGAATTAAAGCATGACATATCGGTAATCTTAGAAAATGATGTTTTCAAAACAACCTAATTAACCAGAGACCATGATACACTTATGCACATATATATATATATATATATATATATATATATATATATATATATATATATATATATATATATATATATATATATATATATATATATATATATATATATATATATATATCTTATCATCCATTTTCTTCCACTCTTTCCATCAGGGTCACCTATGTCCTGCAGTCTGGGTTAGAGGCGGGTACATCCTGGGCAGGTCGCCAGTGTGACGCAGAGCAACACAGAGACACACACACACGCTCACAACTAAGGACAATTAAATTATGCCAATTAACCAAACAGTCACTAACCTGCAGAGAACCGACCCATGCATAGTGTGTGTGTATATATATATATATATCACCTTATCACCTATATATATCACCATGTCCCAGAGGAAAGAAGCTGATGTTCAAGGGAGCTCATTATACTCCAGAAATATAAAGTCCATGCTTCCTTCAAATATTTAATAAATCTAAATATTCAAACAATGATGTATTCAATCTCCAGCCTTTATTTTAAATGTTTTCTTTTTTAATTTCTAGGTTTAAAGAGAACATAATGATCACTGACAGCCATAGGGCAGCCAAGAGCTCCCGACTAAGAAATAATGATGAATGATGTACACGTGAGGAAAAAGTATATTTTCTGCTATTAGGGTGAAACGAGTGTCATGCATCACAAAGTCCATAATCACTCATACACTGTTTAACTAAACTGAGTGCAAACTGTGTTGCATTTTCGTTTTGTTCAACTTGTCTAGCTCTTCATTTAGGCTGAAAATGAAATCACACCCAATTTGACCTATTTTAAGTTATTTGCATATTATCCATTTGCTCATTTTGTAATAAACATCTTTAATGTTTTTTGTAAAACTAAGCTGTCCTGATTAATGTCTCTCCTTCACAAATGCTGAATGCTTCAGTCCACTCTCTCACACTCACTGAGCAGTTTAGATGAGACTCAGCCGTAGCCCCAGTGACTCACCCTAATTCAAAAATGGCCCACTAGGAAATTAATCATACCATGTGAAAGCCACTTCTGAATATAAGAGTACAGATCCATGGTTCAAAAACAAGTTTAAATATTTAAAAAGTTTCCTTTTTTTTGTTTCACTTATATATTTATATGTTTACAGATTATACTGACACAACCTTTTTCTTGCATTTAGAATCATGCTTATGTTGTTTGGATACTACAGGCCTTCAGCTACTTTTGTGTTCAAGTGGAATTAAAAAGCTAGTAGAATTAAAAGAACATTAACTACTTTCTCCCACACATTGAGGGTAATAAAATAATGTATTTTCAACTGTGGCTTCTGTTCATTCACACACATTGTTTATCTCATACAAAACTATCTATATATAGAAAGAGCCAAGCATACATACATATTGCATATGTGAGCTAACCTTGTTTTGGGGAAGGGAGGTTGAGAGGGTTGCGACAAAGATGGACTGATCAACCATGTTTCAAATAAAAGAAGAAAAAAGAGAACAATTCAATCCCAGCAGATAGCTGAGCAGTTGGTCCAGTAGCATGGAGAAGAAAACTGTAATATGATAAGCTATGGTTGAATAACACCTAACATAACCCTTCCTGTTAGTCAAAGAACCGTTTTATAGAATGGTTTTGACCTGGTTAGTTTTTGGCTTTACTTGAATTCTGACACACTCTAAAACAAATTACAGTAATAGTGCAGTAACAGTTACAGTAAGAAATAGATCAAAAAGTAATAATGTAGATGTATGTATTTTAGTTTCTCACAGTTACAAACATTTAACCGTTATTTGTGATGGCTTAAAATGTGGTAAAGTACTAGTTAGATAAAGCACCAATAAGCATTGATGTCTCCGGTAAAGCACATTCACATGAAATTAGTCTTAATTAAAAACACTTATCTTTTATTGAAAGGTATATGTAATAATTTCATACTTAAAGTACTTTCAAACTTTGTATTCCTTTAACAATACTTTGCTACATTTTAATTTACAACTTAATTTTTTTTTATGTCAATATGCTTATATAATTAACTGTATTTTATTTATTTCTTTAGATGCTTTGTGTTTCTGTTTCAGTTTCTAATTTGCTGACAAAGTCTAAGTGAAACACTGCACTGCATGGGAGAGGAGCAGGGCTCTTAACTAGGTTTATTTTCCCTTTAAATTAAGCTCACCTCCCACAAGGGATAATTGGAAAAAAAAGCTAGTTTTCGAAAGAAATATATGTCATTTGTATTTTTATTATTAAACTTAAGCGGGACAAAATGACTGATTAATCAGATCTGGTAGGGAAATAAATGGAGATTCGATTTTTAGGCCATATCCATCAGCCATATTTTATAACCAAAAACTTATCTTGTTAATAAAACAGCTCAGGCTGCACACAATATGCAGAAAAAATAAACATTATATCACAACACACATACCGTTTCTCCTTCTGCATACATTTATGCACTTAATTAACACAGCAGAAGAAATCTAGATCTAGATCTCATAACACCTAACATTTTTAGCCTTGCCAGACTGCTTCATCTGGTGTCTCTCATATTCTGAATTGGAGAGACAATATGGTCTTGCTATTACCGTCTTTCTAGTTGTTAGTTTAATGTGAGGCAGGAAGAAAGTGCTTTACAAAAGCAGGGAGACAGGATCTATTTGATGGTGTGCTTCACATTCAGTTCAATTTCCTTGCTCATTTAGCTGAAACGGGAAGTGCTGCAAACCATCCCCCAAACGTATTCTTCCGATTAAATACATAAGGAAGATGAACTGATTTCCTTGAGAGGGTTCTTTTTTAAAAACAGCTTAGATGATGCGGTGCAGGGAGCAAGGTTCTTGGTGGACTCCAGCTACCAATATATGGCAGTTGGTGATGCTGATTATATTCTTGCAGGGATTATTAAGTATAGCTGTGTAACTAAAAACACAATATCTTATTATAATATTCTTCTCTAAATCAAAAAGAAAAATACACATATTAATTTATACTACAAAGTCCTACAATGGCACAAAAAAAAAAAAGAAAATAGGGGTTTTAAGGTGTTTAAGAAACAGAAATATTCAAACAAATTAAACCACTCTGGGATTTGGTTTAGATTATCTTGTCTCATGTAAAATGCTTCTTGGACATTCATATATTCTTAAGTAAGAAGGAACAAAACACTGGGCAAATATTAGTGGAAAGATCTGAAAACAATTTAGGAAATAGAACTTATTTGTCTGGTGGATTACCTTTGGTCATTGACAACAAATGATCCTTCTTCGCAAACTTTACCTGGGTCTTTTTGTTTGCTTTATAGAGATTTGTATGCCTAATCCAGTTCCCAAATTATACATTTTTCCTAAAAAGTTTCTATGAAAGGCTGCTGCAAGTGGAAACTATCAAAATTAAGTATTTTTTAACAAATGCCATCGTACAAATGCTATTTTTTCTGCATTTGTTATCATTTGTTATGTTCTTGCAAGTTCTTGTGTAGCATCAGTCAACTGTCTAAGAGCATAAAGTACCTACAGTATATGATTTCATGCCGAGGTTTTTCAGATCTTTTATCATTTTTCAACCTATTATTAGGGTTGAGCATTAGCATTGGTGTTGCGATACAATACTTATCATGATACTTGGATCACAATACAATTCTATCGCGATATTGCAATATCACTATATATTGTGATATTTTACCCAGTTAACAAAAATGGAAATTAACGAAGAAAAAAAGGAAGTGCTGTTTATGTTCATCAGAATCCATGTTGTTTACGGTTTAAATCAGCCCAAGTCTTCCATTTGACTGCCTCAACTAGGGTTTTAGGTAAAAAGTTTGGTTTTTTTAAACTGAAAACCATGATATATCGCCAAATCGTTTTTTTCCCCACACGACTACATATCATGATGGAATTATTGTAGTTCAGAGTGTAAAGTTAGAAAAGTGCCTAAAACTGTAGTTTTAATTAATTAATATGACCCACTGTTATGTAAAATATTATGTAAAACATCAAAAAGATTATTGGATTTCAGCTTTTGTTTGATATGGCTGTGTTTGCTGTAATGAGCCTCAATATATTTACCAAAAATAAAAATTATAATCATTTAACTTGGCTGGTCTCCCTCCATCCATCCATCTTCCTCCGCTTATCCGGGGTCGGGTCGTGGGGGCAGCAGCTTAAGAAGGGAGGCCCAGACTTCCCTCTCCCCAGCCACTTCTTCTAGCCCCTCAGGAGGAACCCCAAGGCGTTCCCAGGCCAGCTGAGAAACAGTCTCTCCAGCGTGTCCTGGGTCTTCCCCGGGGCCTCCCGCCGGTGGGACGTGCCCGGAACACCTCACCAGCGAGGCGTCCAGGAGGCATCCTAAACAGATGCCCAAGCCACCTCAACTGGCTCATCTCGACATGGAGGAGCAGCGGCTCTACTCCGAGTCCCTCCCGGATGGCGGAGCTCCTCACCCTATCTCTAAGGGAGAGCCCAGCCACCCTACGGAGGAAACCCATTTCGGCCGCTTGTATCCGCGTATGGCTGGTCTGTGATTGCTAAATGACATGGCCAGCGAGCCCATCGGTTGTCTTAGTTACTACGACCTCACAGTAGTACAGTAGCAGACAGAAATATCACTTCAACTGTAACAAATATACTCACAACGTTGCACATTTAATCAAAGACGAACAGAGGAAGAGGAGGCAGTGACCACCATTAGGGATCTTGCCACTTGCTTGGCTTTTACAATGGCTTTGACGGGTTATTTACCAACAAAATTGTCAGTTATTCTTTTATTAGGCATTTAGTATGAACACAGGTAGAACTAAAACCCTCCTGGCTAACAAACACATCCATATATGAAAAAACTCATACCGACACAGAACGAGACACCTACCGATGTGTAAAGGAAGCCTTCGCTATTCATCGCCAAATAGAGCTTGGTCTGAACCCCTTGGATGGCCACCACTCGCAGTCCCACTGGAATGAGGTTGAACATGGCTGAAAAAGAGAAACACGTTAATTACTCACAGGAAAATATCTAGTTTTTAAAGCTCTTTTATCATTAATTGTGATAGTTTGTTTGCTGTTGTTTTGCATTTTTAAACAATTAATTATTTCAGGGGCTACAATGATTAGTCACTTTAGTGGACAACAAAAGTTAAGTTTTAATAGATCAAGGCATCATTCAAACAAATATAAACATTGGATTTGTCACAAAATGTCTTTCTCATTAGCACTTAAAATCAAATGCAGTTCATTAAGGTGGCTGCACATGGCAGTATTGCCTCTGTTCCCTGTGAGCAAGAACACCCTATCATGTGATTCGCTGTGGCTCACTGAGCAATAATTGTCAAAAAAATGGGAGTGCATTCTTATAGATTTTTTTAAGACACAAAGTAGATTTTTTAAATGATTTTGAATGACACAGGCACAGAAACATAAATATATTAAGATATGGCTTTAACCATTCAGTTAAGCCCATGTCACACCTTGACGATTTAGCCAGTGTATGCCTGACGTCCTAGAATTTTCTAATATGCTGGTATGCTAAACTTTCTATGTATTTTTTTTTTATTTTCGGCATATAGATAGAGTATTCATAATAATTCCAGATTTTGTGTCCAACGATAGCCTAACTTAACATAACGCACGGCAGCGTAATGCCCATGAAATGTCACAAGTCAGCGTCCTGAGGAGGGCCCGGTGGAGCCCTGCCTGCATAAAAAGAAGACAAGACCACAAGAAGAAGATTCCAATAAACACCATTATACGGTAGGTGTAAGTTAAGAAGGTCTGACCACATATATTGATTGCATATCAAATACGTTGATATGCGTTGGAGATACATTCTTAAAATAAGTTATGCACAAGTTACTCATAGATTATGGATAAGCTGGACAAAACGACTTTGACATACTCACGTTTAACGATCAAATAACTTACCTGTAACTTATGGCCCACGTACGAGCAAAAGCTGGCATAGGTGAATATATACTTGCCGTATGTCGACATGTGTCAGCGTGCTTCAGCTTGCTCATAACTTATACAAAATTGGCCTGTAAATTATCCAATGTATGCCAGTGTTTCTGCCAGTTTTTTCATACATCAGGCATACGCTGGCTAAATCGTCAAGGTGTGACAGGGGCTTTAGGAAGTTTGAGGTTTACCTACTGTTCAAACACTCAAGCTTCTACAAACCTCCCCCAGAACAAGACAGTATCAAAAGACACTCCTACAGTGGTTTGCTTTTAACCCCCACGGTCCCTTGAGTACAAGCAGCTGTTTCTATGTTTTTTCTGTGTCTTTTTTTCTGTGAGGCTCTGGGAGGTTCACATCAGAGAAACACCATCATGGGGTCACATCCAGGGACCAGATGCTGAAAAATGACCAGAGGCTTACTGGGCTCAATGGTTTACATTCAGAAACAAATTGATGCAAGACAGACAGTTTGCAACATTTCTCTTCCTTTTGAGGAACTTCAGGAACTTTTAGATGTTTGCAGAAGCTTGAAAGGCTGGGGAACATCCCAATTAGCTCCCAAAAAAGCTATTTTGATTCCAAATTCTTTAGGATAAACATTGATTCTCACATAAAATAAAATCCATGTTACACTGTGATATATTTGTATCATCTTATTGATTATGGTTTTCTACCATGCTTTTCCTTCTTCTTTGTACAAAGTGGCTTAGTTTAGTTTACTTTCACTAATTTGGTCAAGTTTTGAACTGAAATATGTTTGACTTGGAGCTGAATGATTTATGTTAAACTAATTTTTAATGGAAGTTGTAGTGAATTTATTCTATATATATGCGAAATTATCTGCTTGACCATGATTTTAGTTCGATTCCCACTTTCAATTGTTGTTCCATCCGTCATTTGTGAACACACTGCCAGTAATTTAATGACGTATGTTCACAACGAATATATAACAGTCCAAATAATATCAGATTAAATAACATATTTACCATCCCTACTGGGGTGGACAATAAATATAATAAAGTTGTTCAACAATGCAACGTGGACATTAAACAGGGCAATTTCGTCAAAACTTTAAAATTTATTGTTTGTTTTAAAGTCCCACCGGTAAAATGTTTACCAGCAGGTGAAGCCATTGCGCGCAGCTCCAAGCTGACACCAAAAGTTCCAAACCCCACAGCTCTGGAACTGTTATAGCTAGAGGTCTGAAATTTTTTGCAATGGTGGTTGACATGATGTAGAACAAATACAATACAATAAAACCTGCTTTTTTTTCTCTCAAAAATGTCTTTATTACTGCTGTTCAAAAAATACCCTTCATTCCCGAGAAAAAGAACAACTCTGAGTCATGTATGAACTGATGCAGCTTGGTCTGTGTTATAGTCACCCAATTTGAATTTATATATTCAGAAACTAGAGGGTGTTAGCTTTCAAATAATGTATTGAACATGTAATATAGGTTTACAGTCCCTAAGTTATTTGCTTTTTCTTTTGAGTATGCAAAATAGGCAAGGATTACCCAAAATGAGGTGGATGTTAAGAGGTTAATTTGTCACTGAGATTAATGGTTAAGATTAATGTAAATAGACAATAAAGGGACATTGAAAGGTGTGCAGTCTAAAGCAAATGAGTCAAAATATTTTTAGATGCATCTGAAGTGTATTTTAACAACCGAATAATGATGAAAGAGATTTAAAAATAATCATAAAATAATAGAACAATAACTGTTAACATAATCATTAGGTACAGCCCTCATACTTATTATGATCTTTTTTACACAATAACACAAACAAAGAAACTCTCCCCACTGGCCAAAACCATACTTGTACTCCAAGCACACATTCATATCACACAAATTAAATATCAGATAAGTCTCTGATATCGGAGAATTGTCCCTCTGAGACCTGAATTACTTTAAACTTATGCTAAACGCCACAGGTAAATGCATGGCAAGCTTTGAAAACCACTTAAATATAATAATTTCTTTGTGTTTTCAAACAAAGCCACTGCAATATTCTTTGCGACTGCTTCAACATTTACACAGACAACAATCACTCATGGATTGACCACAGGCAAATAAACATAAACTTGTCTGTGATTAGTAAGCTGGATATTGGTTTAGTGTCTGAATGGGCCAGCAGCAACCCATCTGGCCACTGAGGTATATCCCTACCTAATTAATATCCGCCTGTTCAGGGCTATGTGTCTGTTTGTACTTAATCACTAACTCATATGGAAGCCAAAGGCTTTGTAAATCAATGTTCACATAAAAGGCTGCAAAGGACCTATCTTTTCGACAAACAAACTTTGCTTTATGGTGACCCTCTTATTTAATGACTTGTTAATGAAAAGCTGTGATAGTTTTACTATACTGGGTGTGGAGAAAATACAAGAATATCTAAGGACCTCTGGGTAGGGAAATAAAGCTACTCACATCCTTGTAAAAGTGAAGCTCTGATTCAGGGTATCATCACTATAAATATCTCAAACACTTTAGAGTGAAGTGCACTAAAGAGACTTTTTAAAGGGTCGTTTTATTTGCACTCAGTGTCTGACTGCAGCAGACATCCATTTCTGCTTGCTTTACAAAAGCGTTAGAAAGACAAACGCTTGATGTGTTTAGTTTATAGCAGCTTTGTAAGGTTAATTCTGTTTCAGAGAGAAATGCATCCATTGCAATCACATTCACAATAAGCTAAATTCTTCAGTATAATTTTTTTTCTTGACTGTATTTAGTTTTATATGATAACATTTGAATCTACAAATCTATATTGTTAATTTGTCTTTTTCACAACCTCAGTATTAAAGAGAATGTATAGTAAATTCCTTGAGTGATTTAGTAACAGATGCATGAATATGGAGCGAAAAAAAAAAAAACAGGTCAATATTCAGAAATATGCACATATGATTTGCACATGCACACAAAAAGAATCAAATATGTACAGCACGAGATGCACACATTCAAAGAACAAGTCACCACTGCCCTGTAGAATACATATATGCCTGTTGTTGCAGGGAGTCATGAAAATTCCACCTGCATGCACCCAAAACTACATACAAATAGCACTGTATGAAGGGGTTCATACAGCTTAGTAGGTAATTATTGCCCACATGAGATACGTTCTTGTGATTGGCTAAAACAAGACAGCTATTTGATTGGTTGCCAGCCATTTTCTGTTTAAATAATTATTTGTGTATCCAGTAAAGTCAGGGAGTTCTTAAGATCCATACACAAATCTGGTTTCTTATGGTGTCTCATATTAGAATGGGAAGAGCACATCCCCAAATTTTTACCAAAAAGTTAAAAGTATTAATTTCTCAAAATGTCTGGTAGAGTGTACTGTTTATGTATACTTGACCAAAGCGGCTATATAATTGGAAAACCTTTTGTTAATACCAGTATTTGTTCTGCAACATCAGCTACAGTAGGTGGTCTGTCAAACTACACCCTTTTCTCTCTTGATAAATACTGGCATGTGTAGACTGGAAGCCCATTACAAGAGGTTGGTGTAGTGTTAGTGGTTAGATCACCTTTCAGTTATGGTAAAGATGTAACTGATCCATTAATATAACTTGTATTGTTTTTTTTCCTGTGAATGTATAAAGACTAGGGTGTTCAGTGGGAGTTTAAAGCTACCTTCCTCTGCTTGTCATGTTTTACTTGTAGTATTTTTCCTCATTATATATGCACCTTCCTGATATAGCATGACTAAAATCAGATTTCTCTCTTGATGCCTCCAACATGATCAGCCTTAACATCTAGAATCTATTTCATTTCAGAGAGATTATCCTTGAGTGCACTGATGGAGATTTTCAAGAGGGAGAAAACTCAATTACTCTTTGGCTCCTTTAAACGCTTGAGCACCCTAGAGAAAGTAACAGGGTTGGCATCAACACATGGACAGCCTGCTGCACAGCCACCGGAAATGGAGAGAATAAGGTGGCCTGAGAGACTGCTTGTATTATTATCTCTATTCCATATTTTCATACCAACAGTCAATGCGGGGTGTAAAGTCCACCTA